TGCTTAAATCACCTTTCTTTCCCATTCTGACATTCAGTTTGGAGTTCAGGAGATTGTCTTGACCAGGACCACACCCCTAAATGTATTGAAGCAACTGCCATGTGATTGGTTGATTAGAGAATTGCATTAATGAGAAATTGAACAGGTGTTCCTAATAATCCTTTAGGTGAGTGTATATCTTCATCCATCCATCCTCAAGTTATGATGGTCTCAGGCAGACGTGGAGCCAATCCAGGCAGCATAGGGCAGAACACTAGGCTACAGTTTTGATGGGATGCCAGTTTCAGGGAACATACACTCACCTAAAGGATTATTAGGAACACCTGTTCAATTTCACATTAATGCAATTATCTAATCAACCAATCACATCTCAGAAGTCGAACCGTGAACGCCAACCTAAGATAACTTGTACGCGCGGGGAAATGAGTCAATGAGTGATCACACGTCTCTCAGCGGAAACAAAGGGTAATTGCTATAGTGTTGAACACGTATTGATACTAATATATTTTATTTATAATATATAATAAAAAATACAAAGGTGTTCGTAAGAGTTTTTATTTTAAAAAATAAAATATAAAATGCACACACAAAATATAAATTGCACACGTTACAAAAATAAAAAAACAGAAAAATAAATAACTATTGGACACACATGGTCAGCCTGTCACGAGCCACTCTTTGATGGTTGTTTCAGCTTCAGTCTCATTAGGACTAGACACCAGTGGGTTTCGTAATGCAGACTCACTTACATTAGACCTTATTAAATGGTAAATGTCAATCATGAACAGGTGAGTTTATTGTTATTCCTTTACGTTGTGATTGTTCACTTTTTATCTGCAGTCTGAAAAAAGCAACTTTGGGCATTAAAACCAATGAAAACTATGGGAAATAATTATTTAACGTGCATGGGGACGTTAAATCCATATTGTGTTTAAACTTTTAGGATAGCAAGTTTATCCTGAAAAGTCAAATTTACTTTTGCTTAAACATTGGTTTTACTTACGGATAATCACATCTATGATGTTTGTATTCCTCATCGGTGTTTTGTCCCCTCTGCCACACCAGTGTAATGAACTGCCAACTGGGGAGCAAACACCTTTCCACAGATCCTCCAGACTGTTTTCTTTAGTGTTTGCCCCCCAGCCAGTGACAGTTTGGAAACCTGGAGGTGACAACAGATTTTTGGTCATACAAAATTTATTACATACTTTTGGGTAGTGTGTGTGTAGCCTATATAAGTATATTATATTTCTTAGTATCCATGTATTAGCTATGCATAAGGTAGTTTTCTAAAACTATAATCATACCAGTTTGTTCTTTAAGTCAACATTTCCCAACTTCGATGTTCTTGCAGTGGAAGTCCACCATCCTCTGCACACTGAAAAAATAGATTCTTATAGAAAGACCTGTAAAAAGTATTTTAAAAATCTCTGTAACTGAGTTAATAGTAATTCACTTAGAAATATAATTGGTATGAAATATAAACTTAAATACACCTTGAAACTTTATTATTTCGACTAGGAAAAAAAAACATTTCTAAAATCAATCTAAAATAATTTAATTAAAATAGATCATAAAGCAATTTTGTACAGTGCACTTGCCATTGTTAATGGTGTGTCTGCAGGACTGTTACCCAAAAAGGGAGGTCTTTGGGTAACAATCTCTGTCAGGTGCTGGACCTGGCTCTGCAACTCCCCCAACATTTGCAGAAGGACGGTCCGACGTTTTCGCAAATAAAACGCTGTATTTCGTAATGGAACACGATCCGATTGCAACTATCCGTCGTTTATGCGACGTATTGCCTACAATCTGTACTGATAGGGCAGCTGAATACATATATTTAGACAGTAAAAATACATTTAGACAATGATAGACAGTAACAGTAATTATTATTACATAATAAAATACATTTAAAAATAGAGATTTCTTATTAATTATTTTAATATCTTTTAATAAACCATTAATATATAATTATAATAGTATTGTCGTGCCGAGCGGGGACAGCTCGTAGACAAAGGCGCAGACGTCAGGGTACAGAAGAATACGGGGTTTAATTACAGGTAAGGCAGGCAAAACGTAGACAGATAATACAATGACCGGACTGGGGAAACAAACTGAAACGCGAACTAAATACATAGGACTAATGACAACAACCAGAAACAGCTGATCACACGGCGATTACACGCGAGGTTAACGAGGGGGCGTGGCTCACGGTAGGAGCGATCAATCGGGGCACATTGTTTTTTTTTTTAAACTTTATATATTGTTTGGATACATTTATTTTCTTACTTTACAAATTATTGTTTTGATAAATGTGCTTAGATGTGTTTAGTACAGTATATGCTCTTCTTGTTTTATCCTGTCCATTTTGTGCTTAAATGCTAACAAAGAAACATATTTAGCTGAAATTTTTGGGGAACAGGTGTTGTGCCAAAAAGTGACTGTCTGCCAGAAACTGATTACGATCCGCGGGAGCGCGCACAGCCTGTTCAGGATGCATCGCAGTTTCTGTGCGACTAAGGCGGGTAATTTCGATATCAAATCTTTAAGTGCAAAAGGTATAGGCTACAGTACATGTATCCCCGAGATAACAGCGAAGGTATGTCTTTGTCAGATTTAAGGGTTTGGTGAATTTTTAAATAAATAATTGCAATAAGAGTTAAAGGAAGCCATTGTCATGTAAAACGCTTTAAAGCAGTCCTCGGTCATAACTGCGTTGTAAAACTGTAACCTTATGTCATGGAGCCATGGAAGTTCAAATGCGACACATTAATGTAGACATATGTTTATAAATGTTCCTACGTCTAAATGAGTTTCACTACACAACCGATGTGGATTACTTATTAAATAAAGACAATTCTTCATCTTGCAGTCATATTAAAGAGTCAGTGGATTTTTCCTACACTGAAAAAAATAATTAGCTGATTTTACTCAAAAATGTAGTGCACCATTTTTGCACCCTTGTTTTTAAGTATATTCTACATAAAATTTTAGGTAACTTTTACTTAGACAACTTAAACTGAGACTACCAAATAATATGTATTAAATTTAATGTCTTTACTTAAAAATTTATATTTCTCCAGCCAATGAAATTAAGCAGGTTCATTTAGATTTCCTTAATATTTAAAGACACATTTGAGTAATAATCTGAGTTATTACTATCACCACCATAACCACTACTTTATTTACTACTGCTACTACTAAAAATAGCAGGTGGATGTTAACATGTTAAATAATTTTAAACATCACAACACAAATAAAAGTCTTCAACTTCAAATCTGTATTACTTTATTTTCTGAAAATACAAAATGGTATACAGCCTTTCCTTTAACAGCCAATGAAAATAAATGGTCAAAAAAAAATCAATACCATTTTTCGTATAACTCAAAACAAAAATGTTACCGTTCTGGAACATAAGTATGTCTGCAACTTAAACACAAACTTGCAATGCAGTAAAATCCCCTTAATCACTGCCCACTGAAAACCTCTTAAAATTTTAACTGAAAAACATAACAGGATGTTATGTTAAATATCCTCACTGCCATAAACTAATAACACAATAAAATAATACAAACCCTTTATCAATGGAAAAATAAGAAAAAAAAAAATACTGATCTTCCAAGATCTTAGAGGTCTGATGTGGTAGTACAGTATGTGGCTGCATTTTCAGCCGTATCAGTGTTTACCCTGCATTTATGCCAACAGATTGTTCTTTAAAGACAGCATCTTTGGGGACAGTTTCCCACTGTCGAGTTCTAGTAGAACTTTTTGGAAGAATTCAAATGTGTATCTCAGTGGCTTGGGATAGCTCAGATTAATCACATACATCAGGCCAAGAAGGATGACACATGCATTTGGGACACTTTGTAATCCTGCCATCACCTGTGTCCCCTCCAAAACAATCCCTGCCTCTAACGGACTGCCATCTGCAGAGCCCCCTTTGGTTACAATTTTAAGAGTGTGGTTTTTCAGGTCATCCGGGTTCAGGTCGCCATGAGTATCCTGCAATAAACAAACATAATGGGCAGTTTTATTATATGATACAGCTTGCAAACCTTCTTACCAAATAGTGTTTATTAATTTGAACAACTACACCGCCAAGGAAATGTTTTTTAAACCTAGTCTGTGAACACTAAAAGATTTGAAGTGAAAGTCATGTTACAAAAAAACTGAGCAGAAAAATATTGTGATAGCAATAATTACAGGGTTATTCCATATCAAATCAACCAATTTTCCATAAATCCTACACACTTCAGTCTCAAAAATTCAGAATAAATACCATGTTTACCCATGTAGTCAAGTCTGTGATGGGAGACGGGTGTCAGGGTGACAGGCAGAGTTTTTGATGAACTTCTCAAAATCATTTATCAATAAGTAAACCACCTAGCAGGCTCCAGTTTTGCATACTGGTACCATTACAGTCATTCTATACAACAAAATCAAAGTGTTTGATAGAGATGACCACTTGGTAAGAGCAGACCTTAAATTGGAAAAAACAATTGCATCTTTGGTTTTGCCAGCTTGAAACAATGTGGCTTGTGATTTATTTGTTTCCATCAAAAATTACTGATTGAAAGGTCAAATATCTGTTTCTGAGGGCTAAACATTGTTAAAACAAAAATCTAATTACATTTTGGCAATTTTAAGGATATACTTTGACCATGCAGGGTCATCTGGACCAAATATTTTAATTACGTAATGTACCAGTTTGCAAAATCTAAGCCTGCTTTGTAGTTTAGTTCTTGAGCTATGGACTTGTGAAATTTGATGAGGCTAGATAAAATCACATCTGTAGTGGTAACAGAGGCACTTCAGGATGCAGCTGTACTACACATGACAGGGAAAAGGTGTGGCAGATGTACACTGTACTACACTAACCTGGTAATGTGTAATGAGGTGCTCAACATTTTCAGAGAAGTGTACCATCAAGCCACGAATCACTACATCTCTACGGTTGTCCACACCAGCATCCTTAATGGAACACAAACACAAAAAGGTTATAGGTTTATTAAATCTGTTTATTTACAAATTATTTAGTAAATACTAATAAATGATTCATTAGTAAATACTAATTTGTTACCTGGTCCAGCAGGATCAACAAGTCCTGCATTTTACGTGCAGCATTCCCTCCCTTGGAGTGGTATAAACTGAGGAGTCTATCTGTGTATTTGTCTAGGTTAGAATACAACTGTGATTCCAAATCAATGGCTGTCAACCTTCTGAATTCTTCTTTTACCTGAAATACAATATTTAATCATCATTAACAAAATTTTCTATAATTAAATAAATATACAGTAACATGAAGGATACAATCAATATTCACCTGTTTAAATTCAATGATATTCAGAAAATAAAATAAAAACGTTTTAAAGCTATTATTAAAATCACTGAAATTACCTGAGTGACATCAAAAAGGGCTGGCCATCTCTGCAACAGGTCGTGTACAGGAGGGCTGTCCTCAACTATTTCCTGTCTGCGAGAGGAAAAGGTTCTGGCCATCTTCTCACTAACAGCTTTCCGATTGTCTCGAACCTTGATGTCACTGAGAAGCTCTATTCTCAGTCTCTCCAAAGTCTGTTTGTTTTCATCAGATGGGAGAGGGGGAAGGTAGTTCAACTCAGCTTTACGTGGCTTTTTTATTGCAGCAGGCCTCTTGTTTTGTGAGGAGTTAACAGCCAATTCAGGGCATCCAAGCTGTTTTAGTTTCTTTCTATAGGTGGCCATTTTATTCTTCAATCTGGATAACCAACCATCATACCCAGACAATGACCCAGGCTCCCTCAAGCATGGATACTTTTCAATTAAGGCCTGTGCAACTGCACATACCTGATTGCTGGAGGGGTATGCACAGTACTGGAATATTTTTTTGACTAGTGTGTCAGAAATCTGAGACCTCACACTGTGATTGTTTAAAAGAACCCCATTTTTAAGGAACTCATCATTTCCTGTGTGCAGAGTCAGCTCTGTGTCATATGGAAATTCAGGAATGTCAAAGTGAGCTGGCCAGTGTTGTGAACGCAACCCTTGACTCCTCAGAGGGGATAGCAACACTGTATCATCTGATGATTCATGCTGAACAGATGAGACATCTGATGAATTGACTGAAGACACAGTTGACAGGACATCTGAAGATGAAGTAGAGATATTTTGAGGGCAGTCTATTGCTGTTAAAGTAATAAACACAGACTCTACAAAAACCACCTTAATGGTATCTTTGTCCTTCAAAGTGGCTGTAGAAGTCAACGAAAAAAAATCTCCAAATTCTGTATCCAGGTAATGCAGAACAAAGCTGTCAGGTACATTTAATTCCTCTTTCACTGCCCTCTCAAGTTCTTCAACTGAATCAGGAATCCCAAAAGGTAGGCTCAGTTTACGTGCATCATGTTTAATCATCACTCGTAACATTGTTGGTTTAGACATTTAGTGAGTCTGTTCCAAAAAAAAAAGAGAGAAACTGAATGTTACATATAGGAAGGCCCTTAACATAGAACACAAAACCATTTTTTCTCAACAATAATTCTATTAGCATAACAAATACCTTAGTCATTCATCAAAAAAACAAACAAATGTCAAGCGATAACTTATCAACTAGAATGGCGCATCAATGTACCGTTTCAGGGTAACCATTGATTTGCCCCCAACACAGTACGCAGCCAATGGCACAGTGTCATTTAAGTCACTCTGGAGAATGAACTTAAGATGTCCTGGTGCCTCTAGCTCAAATGATCTCATGTGCTCATCATACCATGCCACCCGGGTCTTCACAATAAACCCAACTAAATTCTCAATAATAGCTATTTGGTGAATTTGCGCAAAATCTGTGAACCCTGCAGTACAGTCATGGGTCAGAATCATACCAGCACAGTATTTTGTTCCATGGCAGGACACAGAGTTAGCCAATTGTACTGATGTCTGATTTGGGAATTTGCTCAGTATTGCTTCCTGCATGTCAGCCTTCAACAAATCCAAAGGCATATGTCAAACATGTGAAACAGACAGGGCTGATTTTGAAAAAAAGCAATTCTGTGATTGATATGCCATTAACAGTTGATGTCTGGTAGCAAGAGATAACAAAATGTTTCTGAAAGAATGTGTATGCTGGACAACACGTTTAAAAAAGCTATGTTTAGCTTCAAAGCGCATTGTCCACATAGCCACAAGAGGTCCAAAGGCCTTTATCAAGTCGGGATAGTGCTCCAGAAAATGATGCTTTGGTATCATTTTTTCACCTGGGAAGACATGCAAATATCTATATCTGTGCTCTGATATTTTGATACCTAAGTAGCAAATGGTCTCATTTGTGTGGACTGGAGCAGCAACCAGCTCAACAATTTCTTTCAGATCCATTAAAAGTTGCCATGCTGGTTCATCAGCTGGTATTTTCATTCCAATTAGAAATGGCAAAAATCTTAACAGAGCCCAGTTTTCGTGTGCGTTTCCCCCAATGCTCTTCCGGGTGGCAAATGTGAGAGGTACTGGCTTTGGACAGTTAGTTTTGTCACTCCATTTAAATGGAAAATGTTTGATTGAGTCATTGACCTCAGACAAAGTCAAATATTTTTTCTGAATGAAAACTTTCAAGCTTAATGCTATTTCAAGAGGAACAATCCCTTCAAAAAGATCGTGTAATAAATCTGGAGGGTACCCTGTCAAGACATGAAAGTTACTCAGTTTTTCAGTCAGCACACACTGTTTTTTGACACCAAAGCAGTGGGACCTACTTTGGTCATGCAGCACTGTCTGAACATGCAGTGAGTGTTCCTGTTTAGTCCTTAACTGAAACTGACCTGTGCGTACCTCCTTCAACTGATAATCTGAGCGGTGACCAAGACAAAATCTGCATGGGAACTGACCTGAAAAACTTTCCACAAATCCGGCAATTGAATGTGCACCTAAATTGTCCGCTATAACACACTGTACTGTGTGAGGGAGTGTGTTTTAACTTTCACATTTCTGGCAAGGCTTGAAACAAAAATTCCTTCTGACTCTAAAAGTACAAGGTCTTTCAGTAATGTTCTAGGACCACTGTATAGCCATGTGTTTTGACATCATCTGACTGACAAAGCACTGCTAAGTGAATGGAGGTCAATTCAGACCTTAGTTGCGATGGAATATTTCCGAACACCCAGTATACAGCCGTTAATAATTAATTATTAATTAATTATTATCTTGTGTTTCTTTCGGGAGGTTCCTAGAGGATTGCATACCTCAAAATCATCAATGTACAAAATTAAACACACCCTAAATTCATCTCTATTCAAAAAACTGTTCTCTTTAAAGTATGCACCATCATAGAAAGATCTGTATTGATGTGTCACTCCACATTTTGAGGTTTCAGTACTTTCAACAACTTTATCCAAAACATTTTTGTTGTTCAGTAACTGGCACAATATTTTTAGAATGGGAACATATTGAAAACTCCGTTTTGCCCTTGCATCAATTATATACTGTACTGGTTCTATGACACTGAAATTTTCCTCAAAATATCTTTTTCTTTTGTATGCCGTGTTAAAGGGACCATCCACCCCAAGTGCTGTACTTATTGGTCCTGATTCACAAAGCTCCTTTACTAAATCTGTAATTGCCGATTCAGCAAGTATGCAATTGTGTTTCTCCAAAGTTTGCTCAGTAATATTTTTGAAATCATGAGCTGAAGCTACAGATGAAATAAACTGCAAGTCCTCTACTAACTCATTCACACATTTTCTTGATACATGGAAGAGGCTTTCCAATTTAAGCAGCAACAAACCAAGCTTTTTCACAACAATATTTTGCAAAGTTTCACTTTCATGAAAAGTCAATACACTGTTTTCAGCTATTTGTTCTGTATCAGTTATGCTAATGACAGAATTACCAGTATCCAAGTTTCTCTGCAGAACTGCACATTTAAAATCAGTAGCTGAATGAGGAGTATGTTTTCTGCTTTTATGAGCTGCAAATGTCCCATAGACATTTGTCTTAAAGTCACAGCCACTGAAAACACAGTCAACTGTTTCTTGCTGACTCAGATGGCGTCTTAGATGAGCAAAAAATTCCTTTTCTGATGTGAATTTGTTTGATCCACAATTCTGACAACAGAAAATAGTGACCTGTCCACTTATTGACACATCAGGGCAATGATGTCTTGTCAAATGTGAGCGCAGAGAATTGTGAGTTTTGAAGGTGCAGGGGCACTCGGAGTATGGACAGGGCTGTGACTGGTGGTGCCCTAAACAGTCATGATCAAGTCTGTAATGTCTTAGAAGGTCTCCTCTCCTTGAAACTTCTTTTTGGCAAAGTTTACAAATCCACTTCATAAAATTCTAAATGAGGACAAACACAACAAAACAATCTTTCTATGTGACTAAAAGTAATATTATAATATGTTATGCTATTGAAATATGTAATACATATTTAGACAAATTACTACCAAATGCTAAATACTGAGTATAAATATAAAAGTGCTGATGTTCTTACTGTCACTTGGACGAAATGTCCTTGAACCACAGATTTCCTGAATCATAACAGAAAAATAAACATGAGTTAAATCAAAAACATTGAAATACACAATATAGCAGGGGTGCTCAACTCCAATCCTGGGGGGCCGGAGCCCTGTGCATCTTAGTTCTTTCCCTGTTCCACCATAAATGATTCAGCTCAAGAGCTGTGTGGTAATTAGCACAAGGAGCTGAATCAGGGGTGTTAAATGAGGGGAAACCCAAAGATGTGCAGGACTCTGGCCCTCCAGGACTGGAGTTGGGCACCCCTGCAATATAATATGAGCTGAGAATCCTCATTAATCTTATTATTATTAATAATAATAATAATAATAATAATAATAATAAATTACCATGGAATTCTTGTTGTTTCTCAAATAATAATTAGAAAACAAGTGTTTATAGTGAGAATAATCGGAAATATACAGTGACTGGATATAGCTAATTACGTGTTTTTCATACACTTCAAAAATAAAAATAGAAATGTCATATATTTAATTATATAAAATAATCTTATACATTTAATTAATGGGTGCGCAGTGTACAGGCCTATTTACCTGCCTCGTTTGGAGTGTGGTACTGGGTTTGGATAAGTCCTTTTTAATACTGCATTTCATAAGTACGATTAATTGTCTTGCTACACAGCTGGCCGGATTCTAGATGACGGAGTGGGGGCATTTTCGCGTGTGCCGCAGCAGCGGAGCGTACTGCACGCTGTGTGTGTATCACGCGCTGCACCTATTCGCCACCGCAAAAATACATTAACGAATAGTTCCTGCAACCACCCCCGCATGGAGAAATCCTACGCAGCTTTGCTTTATTATATACGAATTAGTCTGAAATATTTAATGTATCACAAAGAGAATTACATTTACTACATTTGACACATACTTCCAAGACACACGTAGTTTCCAGACTGCTAAAGTTATCATTAGCCTTCTGATGTGAGCACGTGTTAAACTAGCTAGCCAGCAAACTAGCAGAAACATCAAGTAAGTGCAGGTTACCATGCAGTGATTTGCACGCACAGCTACTGCTTATGATTAAAATTAAAACATGTTAACGATATTCGTGTCAGTAGCTGAAAGGTCAGTTTAAATACTATTGAAATCTCAACTCAAGATTATTAAACAATTCGGGCACTATTATGTCTTATTAATTTTAGTGATTCAGGTCGCGGCGAGTTTATGTTGCTCTTAAAAATCCTGCTCGGCACAGCATTTTTATCAGCGCATTATACACGAGTTATAGCAATAATGAAATGAATTCTAAAAACTGATCTAACTTTGAATTATAGTGAATTTACAGTTACAGTTAAACTGATTTTAATTTACAGGCCAGTATAGCCCATGCAAGGTACCTTATATTTCCCGCCGTCAGCCAACCGCAGACAAATTCTGTGCGGTGAAAATACCTTTTTTGTGTAGATGTACACTAACAGATAATATGCATGATTGTGTTTTAAACTCAAAATCCATTCTTTACCTTAAACACGTCAAAATGAACAGTCAGTCCGCTCTTACCTGTAAAATTATTCGTTGGTAAGCATCCAAACGTTTTCTTCACCCTGATTTTCTGTCACGTGTAATCTCAATCTTAAAACGTGTAGTTAGATGTGCTCACTTCTAGCGAATGTCGGTATTCCTCAGATTTATTAGTACCGTTTACACAAAATTTTGAGTGTCATAAAAATCCGAAATATTGGGCTACACATACTCATTTAATTAAATACATTTAGAAAAACGGCATTTTAGGCAAAATCTTCTCATTTTAAAGAGCAAAGATTACTAAGGTCAAGAATAATTTTTTTCAGTGTACTCTGTGCAGCATTATCAACTATCCAGTCCTTTTTACCACTTTAAACGCCTCTATAGGACCAGTATAACCAGTACAGTGCAGTTCACCCATTGCCAAAAAGTGATTGCACTCAATATCTCTTTACTGAATGGCTCTTTCTGCCTGACTTTAATTGTTTTACACTCTTCTGGGTTATATTTACAGGATTAGTAAACATCTAATTCAATTTAACTTTTTATCTTTTTCTATTTATTTATTTATTTTAAATTTTTTGAGTTCTTTTTTAGACGTATGATTTTTTTTAGACACCATATTTTTTCAGGTAACTGTTAAATATTGTTTTGTCAGCTACCCAAAAGTGCAATTTTCGTAGAAAAGCTCGACGTTTTGAGGTGCAAGGTGAATGTTATTAAACCCGTACACTGACGCTACATTTTTATTTGCGTTAGCTAATGTACGTGTACTGTTATTTATGCATATATCATGATTTTTTCATGTACATGTAGGCGTAAAAAGTGATGTTTAGGCATAATCTCCTAAATATTACGTAAATTGGACAAATTAAAAGTAGACTGCCGTCTGGGATTTTTTTAGTTACCCTTTAAATTAATATAGTGTGAACTACGTACTGCAAGTAGCCAATTTGGCGTGACATTTTTTTGTCTGTGCTGGCTTCCCAGTAGAGCTATATTATCGGAGAAGACATGTTTCCCAGGTTTAAATCCTTGGGTTCCTTTAAATCAGAGCTAGATAAGATTTTAACAACTCTGAGCTATTAGTTAAGTTCTCCCCAAGCGAGCTCAATGGGCCGAATGGCCTCCTCTCGTTT